GTCACTGTAACCGTGACTACCGCGTCGTGCTGGTGATCTCTACGTTACGTGGCGTGTCTCTCGGGCATAGAGAAATCTTCTACGTTATGCACAGACGCGCGTTTCAGCGAAGTAGTGGGTGTGACATCGGATATAAGGACCGTGCTAACACCACACGGCAGAAGAAGGAACTTAGTCGCGGTGATGGCGGCCCGCGCAGTCGCCATTGCTCTCCTTATTATGCGAGCTCTGACCTAATGTTACAGACAACTATTGCTTTGATGAGGAGCTCTGACATGGATTGTCCATCCGTGACGCCGGTATGTAAGGTTAACATTGCGAATGCGAGGCTAAGCTATAATAAATGCAGCAGTGTAGACGCTGTGTAATGTTCTATCGGCGTTGGAATAGATGTTCTATACAAGTATTACAACGAACACAGAGCCGGTACATACCATTAGCAGGGTGAGTGTATGGCTTAACAACAAAGAACTCAGTAGAGCCGGTATATAACATTACTAGGGTGAGGGTATGGCTTAACTACAAATAAGTTAGTAGAGCCGGTATATAACGTTAGCATGGTGAGTGTAAAACTACAAAGAAGTCAGTAGAGCTGGTATATAACCTTCAGCACGGAACCGTACACGCACAGGGCTGGGCGCACGTCGTCCATCGTATGCACAGAGGTGCGAACAGCTAGCGAGAAAACAGCAGGAGGGAGAGGGAGGGAGTGAGAGAGAGAAAGACTGTGAGAGGGAGAGAGCGAGAGACAGGGAGAGAGAGAAGAGACTGTGAGAGAGAGAGAGAGAGGGAGCGTTCGGCATACATAAAGGTGTGGGAGAGCCGGAGGGGCCGATGCTCCCGCCGTATATCTCTATTGTGTTGCGTGACAGGCGATCGTGACAGAGAGCGCTAGAGTGTGTTTTACGTCGGCGATCATGTGCCGTTTGAGGTGGCCGGTCTCTCTCTCTCTCTCTCTCTCTTTTTCTCTCTCTCTCTCTCTCTCTCTCTCTCTCTCTCTCTCTCTCTCTCTCTCTCTCTCTCTTTCGCTCTCACTCTTTCTCTCGCGCTCTATCTCTCGCTTTCTTTCTCTCGCGCGCTCTCTCTCTCGCTCGCGCGCTCTCTCTCTCTCTCTCCTTCTCCCTCTCCCTCTCTTTCTCGCGCGCTTTCTCTCACGCTCTCTCTTTCGCTCTCTCTCTATTTCGCGCTCTCTCACGCTCTTCCCACCTTCTCTCTCTCTCTCTCTCGACGCTGCGGGCAGTATGTTTAGAGGGAGCGGCATATTATTAGCAGGCGGCTTAGCGACCCGCCGTGTTACTACATATATAGAACCTCGTGAACATGGCGAGTTATTCTCCTGGGTTATCGCTAGTCCACGTGAAACTATGTGCCTCTTACGCAATCGTGCGTTCTTCGAATCACGGGATAATACCGAGAGAGTTTCCACAAGTATTGTGCGACTATGTAGCCTGTAATTTTCCACTTCAAAGCTATTTTGTTATTATGTTATTAGTGTAGGTGTAATCGGTACCTGTAGCAATTTCTATGACGACTGAGAAGTTGTCGTTCACGTCTGTTTCGCGGTGTTTGCCTTGTGTCGCGCAGATGTCAAGTGTGTGTAGGTGCGCCGCCCAGGGCTGGAGAATTCGACTGCGTCTGTGTGTGCGTGCGTGTGTGTGCGTGTTCAACACTGTCTCGCGTTATTATTACCTGTGTTTGCTTACACGCTATTCTGTAGCTTGCATCCGCGACAGGAAGTGTTCACCAACTCACCGCATTGCCGCTCTCGTCGTTAAAAAAAAAACCAGCGGTGTAATTTACATTGTATCGGCCAATGTCGATGACGTCGCTGGTATTTTTGGAATGAGCGTAGCGTTCTAATTACTGAGTTTTCGTTGATTGCTTTCGTGTTCGGGAAGCCGCAGGCTACATGGTGCTTTGTTGCTGGTATAGGCGCGCTCCGAGGGTGCTAATGATATTGGAATCGTTTGTGGGTGGCAATGTGATTCGCATTCTGCGTCGTAATTAATGTGATTTGCATCTTGAGTGGCGATGTCATTGGCATTGTTGGTGGTATTGTGTGATTTGATTTGATGGCGAGGAGGTGGTGTGCGTGCATGCAGGGTGGTGATTGATGTTATTTGTATTTGTGGCGGTGATGAGGATGTGTGTGGAGGAGGGTGGTGATTAATGTGTGATTTGTATTAAGGGCGGTGGAGTTTTTCTACGACTTACTGCCGCCGTCGTTGTCTCTAGTGTGACAGCCTGTATTTGTTTCTGCGATAATTCGTGGTTACTCGTTCACTTTCGTTGTCACGCGTGTCCTTGTCTGGTCTTCTAATCTCCATCACTGACAATAGTCCTGTTTGCATATCTAGCTCTACTTGTCTATGTAGGAAGTACACTTAGACATCTAATAATACCGTGCAGTAATATCCTAACTCTGGTGAAATCAAGGTTGGGTAAGTAATCGAGGAGGTAGCTAGAAAACACTATCGATTCGTGGTGCGGGGAGCCAATGTCCCTGTTTTACCACCGGAAGGATTTTGAGAGAATTTTTTTTACCGCATACGTACATTTTCGTACGTATGCACTATGAGATAGAGACAAAAAACGGTTTCTTATTTTTGGCAAGTCGCCGAAACTTGAATCACGCACATCAGAACGCACGCAGAAGTCACGTGTTAATATTATCTATCGTGTTCTTTATGACTAGGCTAGCACATCATTCTCTATGGGTAGTCGCCCATCATGAATCCAAGTCTTGCACAATACCTGCGCGTCGTTCTCTCATACAATACCACGGGAAATGCATGCAAAACGATTATTATACCACTGCTGATAGAACGGTGTTATCAGATCAAGCGCGATAGCTTGTATATGAATAACACAATGCGCGTTTCCGCCCGCCGGCACATAGGTGGTTGTTGGGTTGGGTGGCGGCGTGGGTGCCGGCGCGGGGGCGGGGGGAGGGGAGAGGGGGAGGTGTAATTGCGGGAGCGTTTAGCGGGGTAGCTCATGCATCCCGCGTCCGCCCGTGATCCCCGCCGCCGTGGTGGTGACGTTACGCTGCCGTGCGTCAGTGCGCGCACGTTGGTCGCGTGGTGATGATTCTGCTGCTGCTATTACGCGGCGCGCATTCGCGGGCGGGTGTCTGATGCATGCGCATGTGTGTGTGTGTGGGGCTGCTCCTCACAAGCGAGAGAGCGTGTGTGTATCGGAGAGATAGACAGAGACTGAGGGGAAGAGAGAGGGACAGAGGCAAATATTGAGGGAGAAGACAGAGCGCGCGAGGGAGATAGTGAAGGAGTGAAAAGACGGGATATACACATATGTAGAGCATCTGTACGTGCGTGCCATCTATTTGAATCGCCGGTGTGCAGTGACAATCGCCTCTAGCTATCTGTGAACCGACCGACGACGTGTATGTACTTGATATGTTGCGAGCTGTATGAGTAACCGCGCTGCTGTGTTCTGTCGTCTGCTACTATCGTCTGATGACTGCGTGGCAGACGCCTCTTGACGATCATTACGTCACTACAGCGGCAGTTGTCAGCGGCAACGATAGCGATGTGCAATATTTGTGAGATACAGCCGTCTGTGTTATCGTGACGTGTAGAGGAATATACCGCGGGAGCTCGTGAGCGATTTTCCGCGCTTGTGACTATACGCGCGTCCTTGTGTACGTACTCGTGCGTGTGTGCGCACGTGTGCGTGTATGTTCGTGCGTGTGTGTGACGGTGGGGTAGACTTGACAGACTCTGTATGTCGTTGAGAATCACACTGATGGCAGCCAGGCGGACCTCTGGATTCAGTCCTAGACTATAGTGGCAGCTAGCAATCGTCGTGTGAAACTTTCCGTGCGTGCGTTCGTGCGTGTGCGTGCGTACGTGAGTCTGTCGGTTAGCTGAGCGCAGTCTCCGATGTTGGTTGTGACCGTGAGCCACACGTATATGTGTGTGTAGACACACGGCGTACCGACTACATAGCTCCTACGGCATCTATCACGCTGTTTCTTTCCACGCGACGGCCGCGGCGGCAAAACATGTCTAAATCTCCATAATAGATGGGCGAGGAGACAATGCGTGCATAATTGCTGCGTGCGCGTGAGAACGAGAGAGAGAGAGAGAGCGAGAAAGAGAGAGAGAGAGCGCCTGGAGGCCTCGCACACACGTGCGCCAATACAAACGGAATTCGCTCAGTTATCACAAGCGGCGTCGCGTCTGCAGCAACACGTAAAACTGACACGATGAGAAACTGTGTGTCGGCGACGTCATCACGCCGTTGTAATTAACACCGAACCGAACATTCCGCGAGTAGTGGGCGCCCTCTGGTGGTGGCTGGGCTCTGGCGCCCTCTGGTACGCGTCAGGGTTGCGAGCCCTCTGGTGGCAGAGTCTGACATGAGCTGCTGTGGAACTCCGGGAACAAAACGTCGTTCTGTTGCTTACGTACGCCTCGCTCGTCACCTTCAATTCTCTCTCAGTCACGCGAATATTAGTCCATTTTAGTCGTGTATGCTATAGCAATGGGACATAATTAGAGTTGTATGACTATCTTCAGTAATGAATAAAAACTGTATTTGACAGTGTTTCATGCCAGCAGCAGTTTTATAGAAGTCTGCGCTGACGTAACTGAATACCTGTGTGTAAACATGTCTCGGACGCATTATGGTTCATATTTGATAGTCTGATTATAGTTTTATCGTGCATTTCATCATGCGTAATCGATTTTCAAGCTGCTTAACTAGCGAGTGAAATAAACGTTTGTGTTGTTTAGACAAGTATGCAGATGAAATTTCGCACAAGTGACCTTGGAACAATGTTATCGGATTTCATTTCATCATAATATAACACGCGTTAATTTCGCGATAAATCCAGAGTATTTACTGAAAGCTGCCGAAACCAGCTTCGTTCAATAGTTTGGATTCACCTCGAAATTAAATGACTAGCTGTGTATCAACTTTGTCCAATCACCGTGCTTGAGTCTCAACACGAGTCTTTTCTCTCCTCACCTACGCAGGGTAAAGTCGTGCTGAGACCGATTCCCTTCAAACCGGTGCTTCCCATCAGAAACGTCTCGAAGCCAGCGCGGCAAGACGTCTACGCGAAGCCCGTCACCACAGCGCCCCCTGGGGGGCCGGACGACTCCTACTCGTCCGACGACAGCAAGCATTATAGCACGTCGTCGCAGAATTCGTACAGGTAAGGATGCCATGCTGCCCTCCGAGAGTCTCACGGGTCGAAATGAACACATTTGCACTTTTCCTCAGGCGAGCGGATTTGCTGCCGGAAGAGTAATTATGTAATTTTCCATATATGGAGAAGAAAAACACATTTTGTTCTTGCTTATGAAGTATTTTGGTATTACGCTTCTAATCATGCCGAAGGCAGCCCCCCAGTGCAAGAAAGCACGTGAACCCACGTCTGTAAGTAGCTTTTATGTACTCTGCTAATGATTTTGCCCTAGAAAACAAAAACAAATCATTACAGAAAAGTAGATTTTGGCTGTCACCTTTCAGCAAAGTAGTACTAGTAGCAGTTTATTTCTGTATTTTGACGCCTGCGGTTTGTGTGTCATGGTGGAAATCGTACGGGTGGGAGATGTTGGCGTCGGCATGTGGCAGGTTTCGCGATCATTAGCGGCGTGTGACAGTAGACTCGTGCTCACGTCACTGGAGAGTGTCACACACCTGTCACGGATGGTGTCATCACTATTTGTCTCCAATATATATACTATTCTGTCCCCTCATGCACATGCAGTTAGGAAACTATCAGAAAGACCAAAGTTTTCAAACAAGGCAGGATGTAATTCCGAAGCTTTAACTAAGCCTTTTCTAAGCTCTCCCGCTGCTTATAAACTTTACAAAGGGTTATCGATGTAAATTTTTATGCACTGTACTACCTGTAGTGTTAATTACATGTCATCTAGTAAGCAGCTGTAGTCGACCATTAGTCTAAATCTCACAGGTAACATAAGCAACAGCTGTTGCAGTGCGAAAAACTACACAGGCCGAATTACCTGTATTGATGATTGTGGTATCACCTTTTAAGTCCATTACTTTCTGTTAATATGTGACCTGTTACCTGTGATGTTACGTACTGTTTCGGCTAGCAAGCTACGAGTATTGGTGGCCGTGTTAAGGTTGTCACCTGTATTGTATATCCCTCAAGTGCTCATAGATTACTATATGACACGTGTGTGGTTGGCAGGAGTGAAAAGTCGCAAGGTTATGGCAGCTCTGATGGAGCGACTAAGGACAGTCGCGTCTCCGGTTACAGCAGCGCTGACCTTAAAGATCTGAAGGACGTGTCATCACTGTCATTCAGCAGGTAACGCATACTCCTCTCTCTCTCTCTCTCTTTCTTTTTTACCCGTGTCTCTTTCTCTGTCCCTCTCTCTGTCTGTCTCTCTCTCTCTCTCTCTCTCTCTCTCTCTCTCTCTCTCTCTCTCTCTCTCTCTCTCTCTC